TCCAGGAATAGATTAGAGTAATAGATTTTCATTGCTATATATAAGCATCATTACTCAGATAATTTGATCTTGGCTAAATTTGATTTGATATCTTGGCATATCAGAGCACAATTTGAGATACTGAGATGTCTGATAAAGCACACGTGAGATTAAACAAAAGTCTCCCTTTTAATCTGACATTTACATGTATGCATTTAGCAGATGCGTTTAGCCAAAATCTGAATGCAGTCTAGAAGAAATAATTAAGATATTAAAGAGCTCTTATTTATCTGTTTTTTTTCTTTTCTTTGGGTTGTCCCCTTTATTTAATTTTCCTCTTTCATATGTGGAAATAATGCACCTGTGTTTTGTTTTTTTACCCCCTACATAACCCAGCTGCTAGGTGCTACTATATAAATAATTCTTAGTATGTCTGTATATATACCTATAGGGAAGGTAGTGAGGCTGACAGCCTGTTTACCGCAAAGAGTTTTCACTTTTGGCTTGTGGATAGATGCAACAGTTTGCAAGAAGGAGACCTGCGTCATATGTTGTAAAGGCTGAAAATCTGATTAACCTACTTTAGGGGGAAAAGTGAAATATTAAGGGCTTGATGCCCGATTGCCCAGAAAGTCCAGCAGTTGATCCAAAAATGAAGTTGATACATGATTCACTAAAATGTAAGCAGGTCATTGTGGCAATGTTAATAGCCTCTGCTTATAAAGAGTACTGTAACAGACAAATAATGTTGTAAATTAATGGATTGATCTGTTGCAACATATTAAGGAAATGTCTGACTCATATTTTGCTTAAGTAAAGCCAGTTTTAACATTTTTTGCATTGTGAATTTGACACTTAAGCACGATTTCCTCTCTATTTAACATTACTGTAATACAATAAAATCTCATTCTCATTACAAAAAATAATTTATTATTCATATATAGTATTTGTTATACTGCCTTTATTTGCTCATTTTAATGTAGATTTTATTACTGATTTTTTTATTACTGGATTTCAGTAGTAAGAATATAAGAGAATTACACACAACAACAATTCTCTTCATGCAAAATATAATTTCTTAAAGTATTTCTTTTGATTCTGGGGTGAATTGTGACCAGGGCATATTGTAGTGAGATTCACCCTGTAGAATAGTACTAGCTTTTAGTGAGATGTAGGTTTATTATTTGATAAATGTATTCTTATATATAGTAAAAGGACAGGGGTAAGAACGAGAGAAATTAAGAGTGGAATTAAGTGGTAAGATTTGATAAATGTATTCTTATATATAGTAAAAGGACAGGGGTAAGAACGAGAGAGAGAGGGTGGAATAAAATTACCACTTTATTTATTTACCTTCATGTAAGTCATAAACCATAATGCATTGTGCAGCTTCTATAGACAGATTCACAGTTGCTATGGAGATTTTCATAAATTCTTCAGGAATAGCAGAAATGGCTTTTTTTCTGCCAGCAGGAAGATGGAGGCGGTTTTTGCTGTTTGTTACAGGCAGTCCATTTTGGTGATGCTTTTGGGATTGTTAAAAGTATGTGCTTTTCATGTTGCATCTCTAAATACCATAAACAAGGCAGAGCTCTGAGAGAGATGAAAGGAGAATTTAGTGCCAAGAGAGTAACTACTTCTTTCTATTTCTTTTTCACCTTTTTATGTGATTTACTTCAAAATGTGCACCACAACCAGATGATCATTAAATATACTGTATTTTATGTAACAGCTCTCAAAGCTTGTGTTTTAAAGGTTCCCAAAGTTTGGTGCTTCTGCTCCTGTTTTGTTTGTGGAACATTTCCTTTCCTTAATTAAGGCAAACTTTTGTTTTCTACTCGCCACTTCACAGACCTTTGGGTGTGATGTGAATATCAAGTGGCTCTTGAGCTAAGACCCTGATGCTGAAGCATTTAAACTCAAGTTATGTGAGGCTGAAATCTGTGATTTTTATTTTTAAGCCTGTTTCGTCTTCCCTAGCAGAAAAAAGTAAAAAGGTTGTGGGTAAACAGAGAGTTCTTTGAAGGCTGTGATACAAGCACTTCTCTAGTATTAAGTATGAAAGTGTGAAAGTATAGTACATATGTCAGTGAAGGTAATGGTTAACTCTGGTAAAGAGCTGAAACAAGATTTGAGTGGAAAACTGAGAACAATTAGAGTTGGTGTGTTTAAGATGCATGCACATGCATATGTAAGCACACACATTGTGTTCTTCCTGATCTTATTCTTTCTCTCCCACACACGCGCAAACACATATTCGTTTTTGACCATCTTGTTTCTTTGTCTAAACATATTCTTTGCTTTAAATATATCTTTAGTCACAGTAAACTAGGATAGGAGAAATTATTTTAACACAAACGTACACTTTGACCCTTAGTAGCCTATTACTTTCTCTGACGGGGCCAGTTGTGTTCCTGCCCCACCCCTGGATTCTTGCATTTCTCCAAAGGGGTTTCTGAATGCACTGTCCCGCTCACCATGGACACAGACATCATAGATCAATGTCAAACATGCCGTTTTCTTGATTTGCTTCATATTAAAGCAGCAAGGGTATTGAACCCAAGGACTATTTGCAATAAAATGATAGTAAGTTGATATGAACCATTTGACCTTAATGTTGCATTTTGTTGGCTGGCTGGGTTCCCATCATCATCTACACTTTTACAACATTTGCATTTGATTAGCCTTGACATAATCACCTAAAGACTGTTTGCGCAATAGCCGAAATGCTGCACATTCAAAGAGAGGCAGGCGAATTAGTCATGGACAATGACTCAATGGTAATATTTTCTGCCTACATCCTGATTTTAGTCACTAATTTTATTTTAATTTCTTTGTTTTTTACTTCATTTATGGATTTTAATGTTCATATATCTATAAATCTCTCTCTCAATATATATATATATATATATATATATACACATACTGTATTTATATTGTGCACCTGCAAATTTTGTCCAGTCTTAGCCAAATTTGGGTTATGATCTTCAGGCCATTCTGTACAAAAATGACCAAATGGATTTTTGACATTTAACATTTTCTGAGTAACATGTCAGTAGCAAATTACAGGTAAAGACAGCAAATGGAAGTGGATCAAATTAAGTATCTTTTGTGTACTGAATTTTATTATTTCACCAAAAACTAAATTTTTGCTTTTGTTGGTTTTGATTGCTTCTATTTTCTTGTCGTTTTGGATAAAAGCGTCTGCTAAATGACTAAATGCAAATACATTTTAACTTTGAATGTACAAACTGGTCCAAATTTGGCTAGGAAAAAAGAAAAGAATTTAATTAAAAGGACCCTAACCTATGAAACTCTAAAATCAGAGTCATGCTTTGTGCAAATGACATGAATTTGTTTTCTGCCTCCATCCTTGTCTTAAACTTTAAAAAGACAAAGTTAATTTAATTAAATTTACATTTTATTATTTTTAGTGCTGTCAAATGATTACTTGTGATTAATTGCATCCAAAATATATATATATATATTTTTACATAATATATGTGTGTGTACTGTGTATATTTATTATTTATATGTAAACACACACACATACAATATATATTTTGAAAATATTTACATGGATTTACATGTATATATTTATATAATTTATATTATACATATACATTTATAATATATAAACATAACATATTTTTCTTAATTATATACATGCATGTGTGTATTTATATATACACATAATAAATATACACAGTACACATATACGGTATATCATGTAAAAAGAACTTTTATTTTGGATGCGATTAATCGCAAATAATCATTCGACAGCACTAATTGTTTTTTATTTTATTTTACTACAAGTTAGTCCAGTCTTTAGCAAACTTGAGTCACATGACCTTACTGCAAAAAAAATTACCAAATAGATTTTTGAAATTCAAACTTTTATCAGTAGATTTAATAATAAAAAAGCAAATAGAAAGTGGACCTGTGTATTTTCAATGCTTTTGTGTACTGAAATTATAATGCCCCCAATGAAAAGTTGGTAAAAGTGGTCCAAACTTGGCTAGAAACTTTTTTGTCAGCTATATTAATTGACATTGACCTTGCGGGGGGAAAATAAATAGGCAGTTTGAATGTTGATTCAGATATTTGCCTGGTAAGGTGGATTTGCTCACCAGCAAAACTAACCTAATAAAGATGTTTGGTCAAAAATTAATCGCATCCAAAATAAAAGTTTTTGTTTACATAATATATGTGTGTGTACTGTGTATATTTATTATTTATATGTAAACACACACACATACAATATATATTTTGAAAATATTTACATGGATTTACATGTATATATTTATATAATTTATATTATACATATACATTTATAATATATAAACATAACATATTTTTCTTAATTATATACATGCATGTGTGTATTTATATATACACATAATAAATATACACAGTACACATATACGGTATATCATGTAAAAAGAACTTTTATTTTGGATGCGATTAATCGCAAATAATCATTCGACAGCACTAATTGTTTTTTATTTTATTTTACTACAAGTTAGTCCAGTCTTTAGCAAACTTGAGTCACATGACCTTACTGCAAAAAAAATTACCAAATAGATTTTTGAAATTCAAACTTTTATCAGTAGATTTAATAATAAAAAAGCAAATAGAAAGTGGACCTGTGTATTTTCAATGCTTTTGTGTACTGAAATTATAATGCCCCCAATGAAAAGTTGGTAAAAGTGGTCCAAACTTGGCTAGAAACTTTTTTGTCAGCTATATTAATTGACATTGACCTTGCGGGGGGAAAATAAATAGGCAGTTTGAATGTTGATTCAGATATTTGCCTGGTAAGGTGGATTTGCTCACCAGCAAAACTAACCTAATAAAGATGTTTGGTCAAAAAAAGTCCTGCTGGTTAAGCAAGTAGGGGGCACCAGCACCTCAGCCCCCAAAACACTGGTCAATGATAGCAAAGCAGTGGCGAATAAGAGGAATCTGTAAATTAGAATTACAATTATATGTTGTCTTTTCTATTTGTTGTCTTTTCTCAGGCTGTGTATTATGTACAGTCGCTGATCTCTGAGATGGCCGTGTGGGTCCGACAGGCCCAAACATCCCCCCTGCAGCGCTGCCTCTACCTTATTCAGGTCCAGCGGCCCACCCTGAGTGTCTGATCGGCCCAGTCCTGCTAACACCCACCCTGGGCTTCCCTCTCATCGGGCCACCTGGCTTCACTCCGGGCCCACCATGGGAGGATGCCTCTCCAAACCCAAGCCAGGTGATGAACACACTTATGTAGAAAACCCTTAGTCTGTGTAGCGCGCCCTGTTGATTAAATCCTGTAATAATTGCGGCTTGTGTCTCCACCTATATATAGGTCAGTTAACGTGGCCCCTGACTGCTGTTGTGATGTGGCTTTCCTTTAGTGCAGGAGGAATTTTAATGCTCTTAATTGCTCTGTGTTCAAGAGGATTAGACAGTGCAATATGAGTTGGGTTTCGAATGTTTCACAATGTATCGCTCTTTCTCTTCTGTGGCGGCTGGGGGAGGGGGTACTACTGAGGGGCTCCGAAACGACTTTCATCTGACCAAAGACTCAGTTGTGAAAGTGTGACCGTGGGTGTTGGATTTCAGAGAGTACAGAAAGAGTCCGAACGCCCCGAGCTAGACTGTGACACTGTGGCCTTTTGAAGTCTGTCACTGTGCTTGGAAACTTACATAAGAAATGACTATGACTATCTATTCTGTTTTGACCATACAATATCGGAGCAACAGGATTACCAGGAGGTCGGTGATGCAAGCAGCAAATCAGCATATTAGAATGATTTCTGAAGAATCATGACGTAGACATGTGGGGGCTTGTTTAAACGAGGCGTTTTAGGAGGCCGTGGACGAGTCTTAACTTTTATAAAGAATATCTCTTTGGGTTTGAGACTTTAGTGTTTGCAACTTTAGGGATCTTATCTATTCACGAACAGCTTGTAACACTCCAAAGAGAAATGAAAACTTGAAATCGCATCATATGACCCCTTTAAAAAATACTTTTTTAATACATGTAAAACCATTGCTACGGAAGCCCGTTTCCATCATGGGATAAAAAAATAAAAAAGGTAATTGCTACTTTGCATCTCATAATTCTGATTTTCTTCTCACCATTGCAAGTTTATATTTGTGAACCTGGACCACAAAACCGGTCATAAGGGTCAATTTTATTTTACATTTAATAAATAAGCTTTCCATTGATGTATGGTTTGTTAGGATAGGACAATATTTGGCCGAGATACAACTATTTGAAAATCTGGAATCTGAGGGTGCAAAACAATCAAAATATTGAGAAAATCGCATTTAAAGTTGTCCAAATTAAGTTCTTAGCAATGCATATTACTAATCAAAATTTTTTTGTTTAGTTAAACTTAAAAGTTTTTATATATTTACGGCAGGACATTTACAAAATATCTTAATGGGACATGATCTTTACTTAATGTATTTTTCCACATTGCACACTAAACTAAATCCACCAAATAACATGACTACGTTTCTGAATCCTGTTAAATTTTATTATGGGGACACAAATGAGGCACAAATGAAACCGTTTTTTGAGAATCACTAACTAAAACTCTTTCCTGCTAGAAAAAATACAATTTGTTAATTTTGAAGCAGTATGCTGACTCCAAATCCAGTGTCTGTTGAGCTGTCACTAAAATCAAAATGATTACCTTTAGTTAAAGTGGGAATGGGAGGAAAAATAATTATTAGACAGTAGATATTATAGAGCACTGGACCTATTGCTTAAATGACGCCCTTTGACTGAAATAGTCTACACACCTTATCTTTATATTTAATGCTTGTCATTTATGTCCACAGGTTTTTTTCTCTTTAGTAGGCTGAATAAGGGAACGGGAATGAAAATGTGGTTTCATTGATGAAACCTATAGATACACATGTTCACTAAATGATCTGGCAGATGTTATTTTCCCAGTTCTGACTCAAAAAACAAAGTGTCTGCAGTCAGCTCTGAGAAGGCGAGTTTTCTTTCTTTTTCTTTCCTCTGCCGGCTCAAGTCGTCTTGCATGATTTTCCATTGATTTTAATTAAGCTTCACTCAGCAGGTGTGAATTCCTGTGTGATTAAGGCATAAGAAGCAGGCCCTCAGCACATTTTTCCGGCCAGAGAGAAAGCTAGAGTGAGACCAGACTGTAGTGGAAGCACATTTCACAATCACTTTCTAAAAAGACTGTGTACATTAATGGTGCTTCAGCTTCCAATGTTCTTCTCCAAGCTGTGTTTGAACTCGGAATGCTATTTCTTCACAGAAATAGCACTGTATTTGTTATGTACTTGACATGACATTATAGTGTCTTAAGGCCTGTTCACACCAAGAACAATTACTAAACTGTTAGCAACATATTTAAAGATGGCAGTGGTTTGCATTTAAATTTAGCCAAACAAATCAATTAGTTTGTATAGAAAAAAGTATAGAAAATTGTCTTATTCTCTTGTACTTATATCAAGCAATTTTTTTTTGCAGTAGAGGTCAAAGTTGAGCTCACTCTTTTGGACAAAGAGAAAGAGGTGGACCTGATGTCTCCTAATGGAAAGGCCAGTCCATTTTCAGAATGCAGACTCAACGGATCTCTGGGACACTGTTCAGACGAGGACACCATGACACTGCGGCCACACCATAAACACAGAGATTACATAGAAGCATCTGTCTGCCATGTAAAAGACCTTGAGAATGGACAGTAAGTTCTTGATTTCAATACAATACCGAATTGTCGTGTTCCTGTATATTTGAGCGTATGTTTGTGTGCTATTTAGAGCTAATGAAAAAAAAGATTTCAATTATCATTGAAATTATTTTTTTAATAAATAGGCCTTACCACATTAAATAATCTGACTTTTTTTTGCTATTTTAATTTATTTCCTATTAAAACAGGATGTTGAGCCAGTAAATGAGCTATTATCCTTTAGTTTACATCAGAATACAGCAAAACCACAGTTTGTTTTCTACAAACTATTGCTAGTTGGTTGCAGGTTGTATTAGGTGGAGGGACATTCTCATTCTATAGAGCAATTTATTGGACTAAAGTCTGTATATGATAAGGAGCATAAAGTGATGTCATCAATATTTTGGTTTGTGCTCCAGGAAGAGAAAGACTGTAAATTTTAAATGCATATATCTGCAAAAATGTAACTTTGCCAACCTTTAAGAATACACTAGTATATGGATTGGGATCAAAGATAAGAAGCATGAACTAAAACCCACAAAAAATGATTTAAGGTTTTTTAATGCTGATATATGTCAGTTTTCCCCTCCTTGGTGGCACATAAATTACATCAGCTGTAACCTTTGAATGCATCTATTGGGTTGAGTTTTGGATGTTAAATCTGTGCTGATCTTATGTGTGTGTTTGGCAGAATCCGTGAGGTGGATTTGGGGGCTGGTCGTGCTCTGCTCATTAAGGAACATGGAGAATTCTTTGCCATGGGACACAAGTGCCCACATTATGGGGCTCCACTGGTCAAAGGTGAGGGACGTAGCACTCCTGGTTCTCTGCATTCCATAGCTTGGGATACCAACAGCTCTCAAGAGGATTTTATACGACACTGCTAATAATATAAGTGTGCTATAAGCTTTATCAAATAGCAAAACACATTGTTCTTTCAGTAATACAGTGTATTTAAAAACAATTCTCTTCCAGGTGTGCTATCAAAAGGGCATGTGCGATGTCCATGGCATGGGGCATGTTTTAACATCACTACAGGTGATATTGAGGATTTTCCTGGCCTAGACAGTTTGCCTACCTTCCAGGTAAAACGCGTTCCTCTTCAACCTCTCCAGAAGTTCCTCTCCGAACTTTCACTGTGCCCACTTGTTCTTATGGACTGTCTGTAAAAACAAAAAAAGTATTGATTTGCAAATAAATAATTTATTTATAACATAATGTATATTATTTGTATAGAATTATCCTAAGCCTACCAAGAGTTTGGCTTGTAATGTTAGTATATTTGCAGTTATTTTAAATTTGATATTTAAAAACAATTCTCTTCCAGGTGTGCTATCAAAAGGGCATGTGCGATGTCCATGGCATGGGGCATGTTTTAACATCACTACGGGTGATATTGAGGATTTTCCTGGCCTAGACAGTTTGCCTACCTTCCAGGTAAAACACGTTCCTCTTCAACCTCTCCAGAAGTTTCTCTCCGAACGTTCACTGTGTCCACTTCTTCTTATGGACTGTCTGTAAAAAAAAAAAAAAGTATTGATTTGCAAATAAATAAATAATTTATAACATAATGTATATTATTTGTATAGAATTAACCTAAGACTACCAAGAGTTTGGCTTGTATAGTTAGTATATTTGCAGTTATTTTAAATTTGATCCTATATTTAGAAAACAATAGGTGAGAACTTATTAATGATTCATAAGATATTCATATTATATAAAAATAAATAAATAAATATGTATTTATTTATATAAAATTAATAATATGTAATATTATTAGCATATACTACTAATAATAATTTGTATTTATTTATTTGTAAACATTTTTAAACCATCAAGGAGTTTGGCTAGTGATTTAGTAAGCAATATAAGTGTGAACTTACTGATGAATCATAATATATTAATACTATTATTATTTATAAATAAATTGATATTTATTGATAGATTTATACCAAATAAGTATCTCAATTAATTATCATATATTAATAAAAAAAACTTATTTATTTACTTATTTAACATTTTTGTAAGCCGACTAGTGGCATAAGTGCATTTGCAGTTTGACTTCGATTTAAATTTGATCCAATATTTAGAAAACAATATAAGTGTGCACTTGTTGATGAATCATGATTTTTGTGTGAAAATGTTCACAGGTTTATGCAAAACTAGCGAATGAGACCTATTGAATTGAAAAAAAAAGCATATTCTCAACAAGACATAGAGGGAGTACATGCTCCTTATACACCCCGAGGACATATGAGTTCATCAGAGGAGAGAAAATTAACCTCAGTATGTGTCATTGCTAAGCTGCGGGGATGTTTTCAAATCCCTCTGTTATGTAATAATCTGTCATGTCAATTCATTTTTTCCCACTATTTCAGGTCAGAGTCGAAAAGGAGAAGGTGATAATAAGAGCAAACAAGCAGGTGAAGAGTCTCTCTTTCTCTGGAGTACGTGTGTAAAGAGCGATATATTTAACAGCAGTTGTAAATGGTGATGTGGGGAATCATCTGTTTCCTGACAGGCTCTTCAGACTCAGCGGCGGTCAAAGGCCATGTCAAAATGTTCAGCTGTCATCAATTCCAGCACTGGATTCAGCCATGTTCTCATTATCGGATCAGGTTGCAGCCATAATGTTATAAAATGAGACTAAAATGCACTAACAACACTACCTAACATTCACTAGGTAGCATACACTGTCTGTGTTGTCCTACAGGAATAAATCTCGATCCTTAAAAAACATAGACATTTATCTTAAAATTTAACAAAAAAAAAATTAGTTGTGCCATGCAAATAGTGCTGACTTCTTTAAATAAGGTTTAATCTATAATAAATCTCATGCACACAGAGATTATTTACTCTGTAAAGAATGACATTAATTTAATTTAAATACTCATGGCACTGTGCCAATATGAGGTTAAACAGGATTTGGTAATAATAAACAGTTTTTGCACTGAAATAACACGTGTCTAATATTTAGTGAATTCACCCTTGATGTTTTGAGTACAGCTTATATGGGTAGCTTTCTGATAGCCTATAACTATAAAATATTATTTTCCCCGTACTTGCGTAAGAGTGGGCGGCTGGGCGCGCCATTTGTAAATTGAATGGGTCTGGCTTCCGGTTTCATTTGCTCCCAGCTATTTCTTAGCTGTACAAAACAGCTCGTTTTGTTGCTTGCTATTGCAAACTGGTGTGTCTTACCATATTATTTTAATTTATTATCTTAATTATGAACACACTAGTTTGTAGTGCATACAGTTTTACCGTTTACTGCACTTTGTTATTCTTCTCGTTAACTTGTTTCCTTGCAGCGGCTAATGAACCGGAAGTCTCACACATTCACAGAAATCGGCTTACTTCCACGTTGAAAATAAGGTGGACAGCTTTGCAATCCAGTAACCTCTTTAGCTAGGATATAGGGCTAACGTTACCTAGATTTAAGTGCACAGTAAAACTGAAATTTACCTCCTGCTATATTACGGCTTTTCACCCTGCGCTTAGCCCGGGTTATCGTCGTTCTTCTTCACCCCATTTTTTTTACATCAGCACCGCTTTTTACCTCTTTTAGTTAGAGTTGGACTATTTCGTGTAGACTACAGTTTGAAACAATGCTGTGTTAAAATATTACAGCTATGTCACGCAATCGCGTGACTCCTTTTCAAGTATTTTAAAACGGCAGGAAAATGCTTCAATGTATAATTTGTTGCCCTTGGTCCAGACCATGAGCTGATTTTGAACCACAGATGTGAAAGCAGCACCCTTAGATAGTAACGGAAACAACACGCGTTTATAAGCGTTTGAGGGGGAAATGTAAAATGGTGACAGAAAACAGGTTAATTGGAGTGAAGACTGTTTTATTCTTACCTTTAAAGTCCGAAAAGTGCACTTAAGGAAAACTTGATAATGCAGACAGCAATATATAGAATATGAATTTTTTTTATTTTATTTTATTTTTTTATGCTTTATTAATTCAATGCCACGAGAACATGAGGTATTACATATTCACAT